AAAAAAAAATTTAAAAGTGCGGTCCAATGGTGGTGAATGTTGTTTTTACTGGGAATGACTAGCGTAGATTCATCAGAGAACTTCTGCAAGTGACAGTAGGGTGAGTGGTAGGTGAAGTCTGCAGTGTAGATGGTGAAGAGGAAGGTAGCCAGGAACGTTCCCTGCGTGGCCCATGTACTGCAGACAGCCGTATATGACACATAGTCTGAGTCCTCATGTACTGGGGTCTGTTGGTCAGAATATCCAGGATGTGAGGTGGAGGTCCACTCCAGCGTGCTCTAGTTTGTCCCTCTGAATCCCTGGTTGGATGATGTTGAAAGCACTGCAGAAATCAAGAACATAATCCTCACAGTTGTTGGGGCCTACTATTTCTGAACCATAGTTGGGCCTACATGTGTAGCCAAAAGCCTGACCGCATGTCTCCTTTGATCTGAAGACAAAGGAGAGCTTCCAAAACTCAGTCTCCCAGGGTGCTTCATCTTCATATAGGTGGAAAAACTGCTCCTGGACACAACTCTCAACCACTATTGGTCATGTGCACTGTGTGCCCCATGACCTATAAATGCAGAGTTTCCCCTCTCCTCTATCTTCTTTCCTACTGACCGCTCCTGGAGAAGTAGGTACTGCCCCTGCTCTCCCAGCCAGGGAGACTTCCTCCCTACCCAAGCTCTTCAACTTCAAGCAGGCCTGCCTGAAGCAGACTGCTAAAACCTTCCAAAGGCAGCGACGCGAGAGCCTGCCTAAGAACTTCAGCACAATTGGCCACGACACAAGGTCTGACCAACAGATGCACAACAGGAGTCACAAACCAACAAGAACACTTCACTGGACTCATCAAAGAATGATCTTTCCTCCTTTTTCATGGACGGGTAACACAACTGGGCTTTATTATTATGCTAGGCTAAGCAAAGGACTTTTTAATTCTATTTCTATTTCATGTGATGTTTATAAGTTTGACTGGTGTTGTTGTGATATTTGGTAATACTTTATTTGAAAGTTAATGTTAGTTCTGTTATGCTGTTCATTTTCTTTGCATGCATCTAACTACTTTCCTCAACCTGGCACCAACACCTCACACACTCATCTCCACAAAATGAACACCCAGTGATCTCAGCCACATGGTCCCACCACTCCAGGGGGCCTTTTGTCTTCATAGTGGCCAGCTGCCATTTTGAATCTCATTCATTCACACACACACACGAATACCTGCTTTCTGTACGTTCTTACCTGTTTTTGTCTTGCAGATTTTGGATACCTATGCCTGATTTCTTGGACTGTCTTTTTGTGCCTCATCCAGTATTGCCTCTTGTACTTACCTGTGAGCACAAATTAGACCCGAAAGCATGACTCTACAGAGTCATCAGCTGCCAATCTGTCAGTAACACTGTGTACTACCTCCCAGGTTCTAATAACCACAAAATGGAAGCCCTCTCCATGCTGCATGACCTAGATGAAGCACTGAAGACCTCATCTCCATCTTACCTCCCTCCTGTGTTGTGGGAGTGGTGACCTGGGACGTGTCATGACAAGGACGGCAGGCTGTCACTAACACTAACGTTCCGGTCAGGTGTCCACTGAACCAGCACTTTATTCCCTCTGCCTTGTGTTCCCAGGTCATCAGCTGGGCCCACACTTCTCTTGACGCCCGTCATCTTTTTCGTGGCCTGACAGGTTCTGGTTCCTTTCCATGGAGTCTGAAATAAAGGAGTATGTGTCAGTCTGCCCAGTCCGCACCCAGTGCAAGACCTCAAGATCCCCACTGCTGGCCTCCTTCATCTGCTCCCGGTTGCCTCATGACCCTGGTCTGATATCTCCCTGGACTTTGTCACTGGCCGCCCAACATCTGAAGGTGAGGACAATGGTGGATCTATTCACTAAGATGGCTCATTTCATTCAATTACCCAAGCATTGTTTCAACAAAGAGAGTTCTGTGTCTCTATGGCTTCTTAAGAGATGTGGTGTCAGATTGGGGTCCCCAGTTCATGTCCAGGGGCGCTGACCGCCATTGTTCTTTTGCTCCCCAGTACCAGCCAGGCCAGAGGGTCTTGCTATCAACCCAGTACCTGGCCCTTTGAGGGGTAACTCATAAGCTGGGTCCACACTTTGAGGAACCTTTTCCTGTTTCCAAGGTTATTAACCCTGTGGCTGTCAGGTTACACCTCCCCAGGACAATCATGCCACCCCTTAACTGTAGTGACTGGAAATGACCAGCCCATCAGCAATGTCCCCATCCCTATCTGATTGGATCCACATCAAATATGGATAATCTTTCTTCTGGACTTGGCCCAAACACACAGTTCGGCTTTCAATACCATTGTTCCAGACATCCTCCACACCAAGCTCACCCAGCTCACTGTGCCCTCCTCCACCTGTCAGTGGATTACAAACTTCCTGACTGACAGGAAGCAACAGGTGAGGTTGGGGAGCATCACATCCAGTACTCGGACTATCAGCACTGGCGCCCCCTAGGGGTGTGTGATCGCCCCACTGCTCTTCTCCCTTTACACCAACAACTGCACCTCTAAACACCCGTCTGTTAAACTCCTGAAATTTGCAGTCGACACAACGATCATCGGCCTCATCCAGGACGGTGACGAGTCTGCTTACAGACGGGAGGTTGAACGGCTGGTCTGCTTGTGTGGTCAGAACAATCTGGAGCTGAACACGCTCAAAACTGTGGAGATGACAGTGGACTTTAGGAGACGCCCCCCCACTCTGCCGCCCATCACCATCACCAACAACTCTGTGACTGCTGTTGAAACCTTCAAGTTTCTGGGCTCCACTATCTCCCAGGAACTTCGTAGATGCTACAGAACACTATACGCCAAAACATCCCGTTATAAGAACAGCTTTTTTTCCTCAGGCTGTCTCTGTGTCAAACAGCTAAAACCGGACTCAAAAATCAGAAACATCACCTGTAATATATCTGTAGGTACCAATATACTGTACACACTGGAAGGAGAGAGGTACACCAGGTAGACATACACAGAATATTACATTAATGGCATTGGGTTCAATAATTTTCCCTGTCACCTGTGATAATGAGCTAATAATCTCTTCCCATTGCTTTATTATTCATGTCATGGTCACTTACTTTTTGCAATATTATTTATAGCATGGTCACTTACTTTTGCAATATTATTTATAGCATGGTCACTTACTTTTGCAATATTACTTATATACTTTACATTACAATACTTTTTATATCATGCCACTCTTTTATCCTCAGTGCCCTTTTGCACATTGTCTGTTTGCAGGTCGATTGTTTTCTTATTTACTGTGTAGGTTACAGAAATTTCTGTCAGTTTTTTTGTGTTATTGCCTTTTACATTTTAATTTCTGTAGCGTATATTACACTTTCTTTCTGCTGCTGTAACACAAAAATTTCCCCATTGTGGGATGAATAAAGTATATCTAATCTAATCTAATCTAATCAAGACACAGATAATTTACGATGTACACAACTGTATAGATGTGAGCTGGACATACGTGGCTTTGTCTGCCCAAGGCACTTAGTGTCAGTTTAGTAACAAAGCAATTGATGAAGTACTGATGGAGTTTAAGTTTAAAATTGTTTCCAAACCTTTGGAACAGCATGTGTCTAGTATTACTGGTAGAATTAATTTTTTGCACCGAAATACATCTACAGCAATGTTTGAGTTAAAAATGGCCTCTGTATGGCGCAGCTTAGGTACCACAGTTGTGGAGGGTTTGGCTGTTATGAGCTTGGGTGCGGTGCAGCTTGGCCTCAGGCTCCCGCCATGCCCCTCACGTCATACCAGCCAATTTTACAGGCTGCCCAGACCCTACTTCACAAGTCACTCAGGTAATTAGGTAAATTCATAGGGTGTGGGTCATTGGAGGACATTACATTACAACAGTAAAAAAAAAAAAAATACACACACCACACAACAGACCCAAAGAAGATTAGAATATAAAGGACACTAAGATAATTATAAAAAATATAATATATGTAAGATACTATACACACATTCACAATCAAATAAAAACAGCAGTCTCACAAAACAAAGCTAAATATGTCATGCACATGTAATTTTGACCATGTCACATATATAGCAAGGGTGAGATAAAAGCACAATCAAGTCAGATATGAAAACGAAATGGTAAGAACAGTGGGGGCCGCCAGGGGGCGCTAAAGGGCCTCAGAAAATAGGAGGGAAGATAAGAAAAAAAAAATAGAATCTTATTATTTTTTTAAATCATTATCATGAAATATAATCTAATCATTATTTTAATCATTATTATTATAAAAAATAATTTATAATAATATATCATATCGAAATGTTATTTGCCATGCTCATCTTTCTGATTGCCTGCCAGTCAAAACATCATTCATGATGTCGTGTTTATAATATACATAATACATTTTGTCGCCAAAGTGCTTGCTCATTGTGGGAACTGTTGGGTTTCTTTATATTTTGATTTTAAGGTCCTGACCTTCTATGTAAAGTGCCTTGAGATAATGTATATTATGATTTGGCGCTATAAAAATAAAGTTGAATTGAATTGAATATTACAGTGTTGAAAACATGTTAGTTAATCATATTCTTATGCTAAACAAATGTAATAATTATTGAAAAGTGAATAAGAAAATAAGTAAGAAAAAACATTCTAAAAGTTGATGTTTCTTTACATATTTTGTTGCATTATCTGTGGGCTTGCAAAGGGGGTCCCTGGCCAGAAGCTAATTCTGTTTGGGGGGCCATGGCATGGAAAAGTTTGGGAACCCCTGCTCTAGGACACTCTTCAGAGGAGCCCACAAACACTAAATATCAGAGTAATGCTGTGGAGAAACTAGGCGGATGTATGATGCAGGGCTTTTTTAGGTTCTTTGAAAGTACGTGAATAGGGAAAAGAAATTAATCCAGCTCGATTCAACAGCCGTTTTGAGCCACACTCCGTTCCATAGGGTGGCGCTAATGCACGTGTACGTTCTTTGTCAACAGTCATTTAACAACAGAAGGAGAAGAAGACGAAGGAGAAGGAGAAGAAGAAGAAGAAGAAGAAGGAACAACAACAACAACGAAACGAAAACAGCAAAAACAGCAAAATTAGGACACTAGCATGGCTGCCGACAGCGAGGTAAGTGTTTCCATTGATGTTAAATGAGTTCCTCAAGCCAAACGATTCAGTGCAGTGGATATGTCTAAATGCGTACCGAGTTCATGATCTACTTTAACCAGTGTATGTCTTCTCCAGCCCGAGTCGGAGGTGTTTGAGATCACCGACTTCACAACAGCGTCAGAGTGGGAACGGTAGGCGAGCTCATTGTCTCACTAAACATCATTACACCAGCTGCTAACATGTTACATACACAAACGAGGTACCGTTGATCATCTCGGATGTGCGACTATGTGCTTCATGTTATTTTACTGCATGTCATCTACGCTTCGGACTGAGCGGCGCGGTCATTTTACGTCATCCTTTAAGATGATGGTACAATGACGTTAACTCCTTCAATATGAGCAGATGTGTGTATGTGTATAAAGCAACGTGCATTTATAAAAGAAAGAAACGTTTGCACGTTCAACAACCTCCCTGGACATCTACGTGCGTATTGATCAGTTTCCGAGGTACCACTAAATGGACCACGATGACACCTATCGGAAAGACGGCATGACCTGAAACCATCAGGAGCGAATCAGCTGCAGCCAGAAGAGCTGAGGTTTTTACAGACATAAATGGTATGCTACATAGACAGACAAAACTTTTCCAGAAAACAGACAAGTATAGAAAAGACATACAAAGAAAGTATTGGGGAAATAAAGGGGGAGGGTTTAAGATCCTCTCAGTCCAGAGGTCACCATAGATTAAAAAGAAGAAGAAAAAGCAGAGACGGGCTTTTATTAAATCACCAATATTTGGGACAGTAAAGAACAAACTTAAGAACATGTTGGACATGACTTCACATGTATTAATTGCATAAACAAAAATAAATCAACACATTTCTGCCACTTTCTCAGGTGAGAGGCCTGCTCTCTATGCTGTTAACAAAACAAAAAAACAATTCTCTTCAGAACAGTCTAAGTAATTAAAATTAAATATTCAGAAATTAACACTCACTATAAGAACCTATGAGAAATGAACAGTGGTTGGTGCATTAACCACACATTTTGGTGAAACTGCTTCAATTAAGTTTAGAGTTCTTCTCCAAGAACAACATCATGTCCACATTCTCAGGTAAGAGGCCTGCTCTCTGTGCTGTGAAAATGTCCCCTGCAGTGGAGAACACCCTCTCACTGAGAGTTGCCAGGACTCTAAGGTAGCGTTGAGCCAACTTGCCTAAATGGCAGAAAAGGCTCTCACCCACTTCCTTGTTCTTCCTTCTAACACTGCACCTTGTAACACTGCATCTCCTCATCCACAACTTAAGACCAAGGCTTGGGTGTTGGTTTCTGTTCTTTATGAAATAAGTTTTCAAACAGTTCTGTGATTGCTTTTCTTTTGGTTGGAGAACCACCACTGCTGCTGGATACTAAAATACAATTTAAAATAAAACTGATATGTTTAGTGTTTTTCCCAGCGTTTTGTCAATGGGTAAAGTTCTAATGGCCTTGAAACTTAACTATATTGATTAGATTGATCCAAGTGAATTCATTTGATTAGATCAAAGATATTCAACAAATACCTGTAGGGGGACACCCTACCAGAATGTTCAGAAAGCCAGATATTTAAAATGTGGAGTCAGCAGGGCTGGGCGATATGTAAAATTAAAAAAATCTTATCACGCATCAGTCGACATATACTGTACAGTATTGCGATATTAATCAAATCAGGCCACTGCACTTAGGTGCATTACTCTGTGCAGGTCAGTATTGTACATTACCTATTTTTGGTGAAGACTGAACAGATCATTTCATGTGATGAAAGTGAGAGTGAACGTTTTATGGCACTGTTTTACCACACGCCGCATGACCTCTCCCCAGACACGGCCCAGCGTGGCTGGTGTTAGTGGTACAGACACTTCTACTGCTGTGAGTTAGAGTTTACACAAACACACACAGGCCCTGCCCCAGCTCACTCTCACAGTGACACACAGTCTCAGGACCTGATCAGTATATGGAGTTTACTTAGCGTTTATTTGATTAGCTGCACAGTTTATGAGGCCTTATTTAAACATCATGAAAAATTGGGCGTCAACATTTTGTGCTTGCTCAGTACAACATGAGACGTAATGTGCGCAGCCAGGACTCAGTGTTTAAGTGACCGGAGGATCTGGATACATGATCAGACACCATCAATTATTCACTAAATACACTGTAAGTTTTTCATCTAAATCATAACCATCCCAATAATAAAATAGAACAAGTTAACTTGTTAACTACTTCATTTTTGGGACTGTGAACTTAACTTCAAACTTCATTTTACATCTGAACTTTGAACTATTCTTATTCTCTAGTGTGAACTGGCATAACACTGGCGCAGGTCAACAAGTAACACATATTGAAGATACATTCTTCCCACAGATTTATGACGTAACGTGGTGTTGAACTTCATTCTGTGAGGGCCTCATGCCGTGTATGGTAAAATGTGAGTGGTGTTCACTCTCACGTTCATCCTATATAAACTGATTTGTTCACATCAGCAATCAACAAAAATATGACACTGACCTGTTTTGACTGATATGAAAAAAATTAACTTGAAATGTTTTTTTTCACACACTTAAGGTGCTGTGTGTATGTTACGATAAAAGAAGCATGAGGAGCCTGGAGTAGAGTAGTCCTTCAACTCATTTAGACCATTGGGGAAAATTAAAAGATTCAGACCCAGACAAAAGACCATTGTTATGCCACATACTGCATGTGATGATTCATAGTGTTAACAATCATACATCAGAATCAGAAATTCTTAATTGATCCCAGGTGGAAATTGTGTTTTTTACAATTGCCCCAATTAAAATGTAGAAATATAGCATATAAGATTTAATATGAATATGAAATATATACAATATTGTGTACATTGCATATTAAGTGCAAATGGATAAGCTTGTATCGACTCCAGTCTGTCAGTTTTTCAGAGGGAGGAGTTATATAGTTGAATGGCCACAAGAAGGAATGACTTCCTGTGGCGCTCTATGGTGCATTTTTATGATCTGAGTCTTGCCCTGAACGTGCTCCTGTGTTTAACCTGTACGTCATGGAGAGGGTGGGAGACATTGTATCTTATGCAGCATCCTCCTGTCTGACACCACCTTCAGATAGTCCAGTTACTAAACTGGTCATCAGTGTCCTGACTATTGCAGAGTCATCAGAAAACTCTGTCTGGTAGCTGAAGTCCGTGGTGTAGAGGGTGAAGAGAAAGGGAGAGAGGACCCCTTACTGACCACTCTGTCAGACACATAGTGCTGCAAGCGCACATACTGTGGTCTGCCATTCAGGTAGTTCACAATCCAGCCCATGATGGGGACATCCAACTGCATCAGTGTGAGTTTCTTGCCCAGTAGAGCTGGCCTGAAGGTGTTGAAAGCACTGGAGAAGTCAAAAAACACGACCTTCATAGTGCTTGCTGGCTTGTCCAGGTGGGCGCAGACTCGATTCAGCAGGTAGATGATGGTGACCTCAACTCCTAGCTGGGGCTGGTAGGTGAACTGGAGGGGATCTAAGTGTGTCCTGACCATGGGCCTGAGCTGCTCCAGAACAAGTCTCTCCAGGGTCTTCATGATGTAGGACGTCAGCGCCACAGGTCTATAGTCCCTGGAGCCACTGGGACATGGCATCTTTGGCACAGGAATGAGGCAGGATGTCTTCCATAGCACAGGGACCCTCTGAAGACCCAGGCTCATGTTGAAGACATGGTGAAGCACTCCACGGAGCTGGGGGGCACAGGCTTTGAGCACCATGGGGCTGACACCATGAGGGCCCGCAGCCTTGCCCGAGTGGAGTTTCATCAGCTGTCTTGTAACATGTTGAGGTGTGAAGGGCACTGTAGAGGATGCAGGCTGGGGAGGAGGATGGATGGAGCTGTCAGGAAGAAGACAGTCAGCTTTTGAGCAAGAAGAGGTGTAATTCATTGGCCATGTCCAAGTGGTCCTCATTCCACACCAGACCTCCCTCATGTTGTTTTTTTTTACGCAGCACCAAACAGTGTGTTCCAAATGATGGAACTCATACATAATACAGCATTTGTGTATGTATGTTTATATGTGTACATATGTGTTTAAAATAGAATCAGGAAGTGGGCAAACGTGCCGTATGTCCATATAATCCCTACTGCTCACAACAAAACTAATTTAATTTGCCTATAGGTTTGTGTCCAGAGTGGAGGAAGTGCTGAATGACTGGAAGCTGATTGGGAACTCAGCAGGAAACCTGTCCCTGGAAAAGGTATTCTACTCTTATCCTTAAATATTCAGCTGCCAAGAGTTTCTTTGTTTGTACTTTATTATGATGTGACATTATTTGAACACAGGGTGAATACACCAGAGGCACCTGGGGGGAGAATTCTCAGGAAATAAATTTTGCTGATTTTAAGTTCCTCATAACTCACCACTTTCTGAAAAAAGAATGTGAAAAGGACAGTGGGAAGGACAAGATTGAGGAAGGTATGTTCATGATTTCAATGTTCCATAATATATAGGTTACCTGATGTAGTTAACAGCAATGTTTTTTAGCATTTGCATTTTAGCCTAATGTTTGCAATGAAAGTCATGTTAAATTGGTGTTAACCAGTAAAATAGTTCACCCTAAAATGAGATCAGCCCTTCAATATTCAGTGTTTGACACAACCTTTGTATGCTTCTTCCCTGTCTAGATGCCTTCCCCTTGGCAATGGAGGACCTTCTGTGTATGAACAATGATTTCCCGCCTCGAGCCCACTGCCTGGTCAGATGGTGAGTTCGGTCATTCATTACGTTTTCATGCAAAGAGAATGCATATTTCTCAGAGAAATCAGGTTGTGCTTTAAATGAACAGATCGGTGTTAAGATTTAACAACAACCCCAACCTTATTTTCCACTTACCATGTCTTCCATGTTGAATCAATTGAGTAACATGGGTTGGTATTTCAAACTAATTATTTGGCTCTGTTTTCCTAAACATACTTGGTTTGCAATGGTATACATTCCCCCCTGGGGGTGAATGTCAGGGGGGGTAGTGGAGGGAGTCTGCAACATGAAAGCAGTGGAGAGGGAGGTAGAGGTGAGAATGGGGCAAGAAATGGGGGGGATGGAACAGGTGGTGGGGGGCAGCAGAGATGACTGGGCCGGGGGAGGGGTGGGTGTCTGGTCAAACCTGTTGAAGAATAGGTTCAGGTCGTTCACCCACGTCTGATCCCCGCAGCCTGGGAGTCTGGTTTCCTCAGCCCTGAGATCGTTTTAAGGCTTTTCCAGACTCCACTGACATTTCTCTGCTGCAGCTGGTCCTCCATCTTCCTCCTGTAGCTGTTCTTCCCCTCTCTGATCTTCTTCCTCAGCTTCTTCTGCAAAGCCTTCAGCTCCTCCTTGTTGCCTGACCTAAAGGCCCTCTTTTTCTCTTTAAGTAGAGCCTTTATGTCAGGATTAATCCAGGGTTTGCTGTTAGAAAAACACCGTACAGTCCTGGTAGGTACAGTGTTATCAACACAGAAGTTTATGTAGTCCGTTATGCAGCCTGTTAAACTGTTGATGTCCTCCACATGAGAAGAACACAGTTCTTCCCACACAGTTGAGTCAAAGCAGTCCCTCAGAGCCTCTTCAGACTCCTCAGTCCATGTCCTAACTGTGCGGGTTTCCACTGGTTGCCTGTTAACAAGGGGCTTGTAAACAGGCAGGAGATGCACCAGGTTGTGATCAGATCTTCCCAGGGGAGGGAGGGGGGATGAGCTGTATGCCTCCTTGCTGTTGGCATAAAATAAGTCCAGTGTTTTATTGTCTCTGGTGTTGCAGGTGACATATTGTTTGAATGTGGGCTGGGTGGAGGACAGAGAGGCATGATTGAAGTCTCCAGAGATGAGGAAGAGGGCCTGTGGGTGCCGTATCTGCAGTGAGCTTGTGACAGTGGAGAACATCACAAGCTGCATCAGCGTTAGCAGAGGGGGGGATATACACAGCGAACACAATCACCTGTGTGAACTCCCTCGGGAGGTAGTACGGTTTCATGCTAACCGCTAAAAGTTCGATGTCCTTACTGTAGACCTGTTCTTTAACAGTGATGTGACAGCCAACCCTCCTCCTTTGCTCTTCCCGCTCTCTGTCGTCCTATCTGCCCGCCGCAGTTGAAAGCCGTCCAGGTTAGCGTCCGTGTCCGGGCAGTGAGGGGCCAACAGCTGACCAATACTGTAAACAATAGGGCAGTGTATTAGCTCCCCGGACACGGCGGAAAACGTAGAAAAAAGAAGTATTAAGACCAGAGCGAGAGAAACAAGTCCGGTCTCCATACTGACCGGAGAGAGAGCTCCAAAGAGAAGTAAAAAAGAACAGGTAAAAAGTAAGAAAATAAATATAAAAAGGGGGAAAAGCTCAAAAGTGAGCGAGAGCTGCTGTGACAGGCTGCCACTCACGCAGTGCCTGATTAATTGAGCTGAACTCATATCTTGAGAATCGTTCACCTCATTGGCTTCACACTTGCATGTCTTGTTAAGGGCCCAAGGATCAAATTTGGACACAGAATTCATTTAAATAAACAGGCAAAAAGTTCCTTACAGTCAGTGGGGGCAAACCAGCTTGCCTTAAAAGGCAGTCTGCTGGCTGAGTTGAATGTAGTTAATCCGTGAGCTAGGATAACCTACATCAGTGTTTGGCAACCATGGGCTAAAACTGCCCCGCAAGATAATTTCGGTGACTTTTTAATGCCACCATGTCCTACTGATGCAGACATTCATGGGTGTTGCAGGTGCTGATCTCTGTCAACATTAATAGAATCACTTACTCTTTAGAAATTTTATAAAAAAGATAAATAAACATTTGTTTTGTTCATTACTTAATATCAAGCTGAATTACAGAGCTTTTATTTTGAACTTTAGTGTGAAGATTGTGTTGATTGCTTAACAGAGCTGTTAACCTCTACAATTAATGAAAAAATAACAGCAGTTAAGTAAATCATTCAAACTTGTGTATAAGCCACACGTGAACAGTAATAAACAAATGTATTTATTAAATGAAAAAATGAAAATGCAGAAAACTGATTACAGTTTATCATGGAAGCACAAAGATTTCTGAAGTAGGATCCAGACTGTATAGTAGCTGTCATTCCTAAAATTAGGGCATTTTATCTCCAAAAATATTTCTGTCTGTCTGTCTGCCTGCCTGTATATTGAATACATATCTTGAGAACTGTTCATCTGCTTCACAGTTGTCATTTGTATTGTAAAGGGACCTAGGAAGTGCAATGTCGAATTTGGTGCAATTTCGACTCACAGTACGATTAATTTAAATAAATGTTGAATGCTCAGTAGCAAGGCTGTAAAGGAGGCTAAACGACTGTACTCTGGGAAGCACCAACACCAGTTCTCAGCCAACGACTCTGTGTCTCTCTGGAAAGGGCTCAGGCAGATCACCAACTACAAGCCTAAAGCCCCCCACTCCATCAACGACCAACGCCTAGCCAACGACCTGAACGAGTTCTACTGCCACTTTGCAAGACAAAGGGACAGTCCTGCAACCATCCCCCATGACACCTCCCAACAGCTCCAGCTACAGTTCATCACCTCCACCTCCCCCTCCTCAGCAGGGGGGAGAGAGGCATGAGTGTGCCTGACTCCAGCTGCAGGTGGATCACTGACTTCCTGTCTGACAGGAAGCAGCGCGTGAAGCGGGGGAAACATGTCTCCGTCTCCCAGACCATCAGCACCGGATCCCCCCAGGGCTGTGTTCTTTCTCCTCTGCTCTTCTCCCTGTACACAAACAGCTGCACCTCCAGCCACCAGTCTGTCAAGCTTCTGAAGTTCGTGGACGACACCACTCTTATTGGTCTCATCTCTGATGGTGACGAGTCTGCCTACAGGTGGGAGATAGACCATCTGGTGAACTGGTGCAGCCAAAACAACCTTGAGCTCAATGCTCTAAAGACAGTGGAGATGGTTGTAGACTACAGGAAGAACTCAGCCTCAACTGCCCCCATCACCTTCTGTGACTCCTCAATTGACACTGTTGAGTCTTTCCGTTTCCTGGGAACTATCATCTCCCAGGACCTCAAGTGGGAGCTGAACATCAGCTCCCTCATCAAGAAAGCTCAGCAGAGGATGTACTTCCTGCAGCAGTTGAAGAAATTCAACCTGCCAAAAACAATGATGGGGCATTTCTACACAGCCATCGTTGAGTCCATCCTCACATCCTCCATCACCATCTGGTACGCTGCTGCCACTGCCAAGGACCAGAGCAGACTGCAGCATGTCATTCGGCCGGCAGAGAAGGTGATTGGCTGCAATCTACCGTCGCTCCAGGACCTGTACACCTCCAGGACTCTGAAGCGTGCAGGAAAGATGGTGGCTGATCCCTCCCACCCCGGTCACAAACTCTTTGAGACACTCCCCTCTGGCAGGAGGCTGCGGTCCATCAGGACCAAAACCTCACGCCACAAGAACAGTTTTTTCCCATCCGCTATTAGCCTTATCAACAAGGCCCGGAACCCACCCTGACACTCTTTCACACTCCACCTCTGCCTCCATATGTCACATTGACACTGCACTCACAACTCTATGCGTTACATTAACGCTCAGCTATATACTAATATTGGAAATACTCTGCATACTGTGAACACTATAATTACTCAGCTGTACTGCTCTTATTTCTTTTTTTTTACCTTCAAAAAACATACTGTGTATATATATTTTTATATTTATATTGTTAAATTTTAATACTTGATTTTTTTATCTTGTTATATTTAGAGATGCCGGACATGCACCAACAACATCAAAACAAATTCCATGTATGTGCAAACTTACTTGGCAATTAAAGCTTTTCTGATTCTGATTCTCTTCTTCTGGTGGCTGGGACTCATCAATGAAAGTGTCATTGTCGATAGCGACAATGGGTGTAGTCAGGACAACTGATTCTCCTGTCCAGGGTTCTGCGTACTGAGTTGAGCTTCATCGAACATTGAATAAACCCGGTGACCAGCTCTTTGAGTAGCAGCAGTGGCACGGTTTCAAGATTCTGTGGTTTGAGTGCTGCAACTGGTCTTTGCCGTTGCTTAATTACTGCTAGTCACTTTTGAAGTTTCAGAAAGAAATCTGTTACCAGCATTACCACAGTAAATGATTAATCTGGAATTCCCGATTTGCTGACCATAACATGTGTTCATTTGAATTATGCAAATCCATGAAAGAATTTAGGGTGGGGGGTCGTTGAGCTTCCTAAGTGAACTACAGAGATTTTAAGGATGGCTACAGACTGAGATGAAGGACATTCATCACAACGTGTGGGTATTCAATAGCTAGTTGAACATGCCGACCTGAAAGAAGATGACTGTCACCTTTTTTGCTTGGACAAAGGGATAATTGCTGGTAAGTGTGTTTTGCTGTTGAATTATACATGTTGTTTGGTGTAAATGGTGGGATGAACACTAGCTAAAATAAAATGTAACTTTTTTTAAATGATGGACAACTGTCCCCCAGGGGAATCATGTTTCTTGTTTTGTTATTTTCAGTTCAAGCTCCCATAGCTGTCACTCAGCTATACAGTTACAACTCAGGACCAACTTGTGACCAGCTAGTCAGCATAGGAGGAAAGGACAGTGAAATGGTGCACACTTATATGAAAAGAATAATGTGCACTTGGACAACAAACTGGAGTGGTCAAAGCAGGATCTTTGAAATCAGGAGATTGAGGTCGTTTGATGTCTACTGAGATGCTCTGTATGTTCTACCAGTCAGTGGTGGGAAGTGTCCTTTTTTTTTACCCGACTGTCTGCTGACCCATTACTATTCATAAATGGAACTCAATACCATATATTATATAAATCCATAAAAGCATAGATATCATTTAAAATTCATAAAAGTAATTCTCAGAATTTTAAAGACAGCAAGAGACTCAAAAGGTTAAAGCTAACTTCCTAGCATAGTGTGACGATACAAGATCTATTATCTTACTGGTTTAATTTACACATCCCTAGGATAGGGATATGCATTGTATCTGTTTTAAAATTAGATGTAATACAGGTAAGTACATATTACATATACATGACAGGAGTCACTCATTTAAAACTAATTTGAGGGACAGACTTTTTTCACCTACGTAACAAAATCAAAACAAAATCAGGGAAGTCCTTCCTCAAAAAGATGCAGAAAAATGTGTCCACGCTTTTGTTTTACGTTCAGAGTTATCCACCACAAGTTGATTTAAGTGAAACAACATAGTTACAGAGTCAAAAGGTGGGATGAACGCTAGCTAGCCAGCCACTGGCTTTGAAAATAAAATGTAACTTTTTTTAAATGATGAACAACTGTCCCCCAGGGACTAGCTGTCAATGATTTGGGTCCCTTATACCTTAAACAGCTCATTATATCATTTCAACCCACAAAAGCACTGTTCCAGAAGAGACTAGAAGCCAGAGCCTTAAGCTATCAAGCTCCTGTCCAGTGGAATCGTCTCCCAGTTTCAGTTTGGGAGGTAGATACCCTCTATGTTCAAAAGTTGGCTTAAAGACATTCCTTTTTGATAAAGCTCAGGTCTACTCTTATTTATGCTGCTGTAGGCTTAGATTATTGGGGGATACATGACACAGAGTTTCTCTTATGTCGTCTTCCTCTTCATCACATTAATGTCTCATCAATGCATGTTACTGACTTGGCTTCTTCTTCCTTGTGCTTTATCATTTGTAGATCCACGATCACTACTGTGACCACATCGAGAATCGTGATGATGCATTGTAGGTGGCTGAAAGTTTTTGATTTTTCCAGGTTGATAAAGATGGTTTCCTTTACTTTTCTGTCAAACCATCTGAAAATATGCACAATTACCATCCTCAAGAGTGTTCCTTGTCCTTGAGGTGTAAGTAAACTGCTGAGTCCTGGCCTGTGGAACTGGCTCTCCAATCCTTGTAGCATTGGACTGCATTAACCACATTGTTCTGTTTGTCTTTGGGTGTTTTGTCCTTAGGGTGAACAAGCTTTTGTCTTAGTGTGTATAAATCTTTGTTGTACTGAAAGTAGGTGGCAGTCAGGCAGAGTTCAAGCAGAATACAACTAGATTGCTTGAATATACAATATGCCTACTCATATATACTTACACTATTGGCAATACCTCTATCATTACAGCTCCCTTCATCTCTTTCCGACAGTTTTTTGTATGAATAATTTACACATTGACACACCTCTCCATTTAGACAACTTTGTTATTGCAATTCCTCGAAAAGAGGGATCCCTCACATTAGTCTCTCTGAGGTTTCTGTATTTTTTGCCCGTTAATATGGATATTTTTGGTAGTTTTAACCTTACTCTTGGTGAGGGTTAGGGGAAGAGGATGTTGCACCTTCTTCAGCCCTATGAGACAAATGGTAATTTGTGAATATGGAATATACATATAAGATATGATTGATTTTGATTAATGATACAGCCTCCAACTGGACACTATTTGCATATCTTCCAGGACAAGATGCTGGTCAAAAATAGTTCCTTATAGAAGAGTTCCAAATCCTGTTTGATGTAAGGCTGAGATTGCTGTGCTAAAAAATATCTAAGGTCGAGACCATACAAAGTTATAAAGAAACCCAACAATTCCCCAAAACTATTCAATTCAATTCAATTTTATTTATATAGCGCCAATTCATAATTTACATTATCTCAAGGCACTTTACATTTAAAGGTCAAGACCTTAAAACAATAGTAACATAGAGAAACCCAACAGTTCCCACAATGAGC